TACTTGATTTATTTACTGAACAAAAATGCAAGAGCTCACAGAAGTAGTAAAATGAAAATGGGGGTTACCTGCTATTAAAGAATTAAATTTAACAATATCCCTATTGAGAATCGACCCACTGAAAAGCAGGAATGCCTTCAGTCCTAATGTGGGTGTACTCTGGGTAGGACTAATACTGGACTTAACACCAAAATACATAATCATAAAATAGAAATCTGCAGATTCTTAGATTATCTTTAATTTTTTTTAATTCCTAGCACCTCATGCTTCTTTTAACATGATTAAGGAATCTTGCTACTCAGGAGGAGGTACTTGGTTAGAAAACTGCTTTTGTTTTTTTTGACAGGCTGCATAAAATATGTAAATGAAAAACTGACCTAATTTCTTGCTAATGGTTTTTTGCAAGCCTCCATTACCTCAATTACGTGGACAGTCACCTATTAAACAAGAATAATCACTATCCGTTGTTTATGGTAGATGTTGACAAGTTTAAATTATATTACTATGAAACGGCATCATAAGTTACAATGTCAGCATTTAGCAAGCTAAAAAAATGCCACTAAAAGAAATCACTAAAAGCTTGTTTAATTAATATATATCTTAACTTTCTCCTTAATGGGAATAAGGTTAAAATATGACAGCTGAAAATTTGACGTTGAGAAATTAATTTTTAAAAAACCTCAACATTAAATTTAAAACTATTACAGTGAATCACAAATAATTTTTAAAAATATAAAATCTTTATAAAAAATTAGGGAGACTATATGACTACTACTGTTCACACATAGCATAGTATTATTCAAAATGTCTTGGCGGTCATAAGAAGGACATAGGTTTCCAGGTGGAAGGTGGTCCCAACAAGCATTTGCTTGATGTGACTTCTCCCTTTTGTCTTCTATTTGTGCCTCCTCAAAATCCATGGTAACACTGGTAACAGCTGACCTCAAGTTGCAATGCTGGACTGTCAGGGATTCCCAGTTCTTGGTGTTCTCGGTGTTTATGCTATGGTTAGTTTTAAGCCAGTCTTTAAATCTCTTTTGTTGCCCACCAACATTCTGTTTTCCATTCTTAAATTGAGAACAGTTTTGGCAGATTGTGAGCGGGTATTCAGATAACGTGGCCAACCCAGCAAAGTTGATGGCAGGGGATCATAGCTCTAACGCTGGTAGTCTTTGCTTCTTCCAGAATGCTGATGTTTGTCCACCTGTCTTCCCAAGAAATTTACAGGATTTTTAGAAGGTAATGCTGATGGAATCGATCCAGATGTTGAGAGTGACATTTGTAGTCCATGTTTTGCAAGCATACAATAGAGTGGGATAGTCAATAACTTTATAAACAAGTATAATGGTATCTTCATTCCAGTAGGGCTCCACAGGGGAAAGTGGGATGGTGGGTTTTTACTGGCTGGAGATTTTATAATGCATAAGAATTTTCATGTTGGCATTATATTATGGCTAATTAAATGGAGCAACTGGTTTTAGATATAGAAAATACATTAATGTAATAGAATAATAAACAATAGATCTGTTAACATGTCAATTCTAGTGCTTAAACATAAAGTTTTAGTATTATATGAGTTTGGAAGAATACAAGATTGTTTTTTGTTCAAACAGAATTATCACTACTGGATAAATATTGGAGCTAACCTTTTATTAACTTTCTGCAGGATAACTATTTATGGAAAGTTATCTTTTATATGTGTACTAACGAAATTGATTAGATTATAGAAAGACTTGTATCTTTGTTTAATATTAAAACAGATGGAAGATGCTTAATTAAGCTGTAGTTATAGCAGCTGTGGAAAAGATAGGAAGTCATTTTTACTTTTAACTTTATTTCCTTTTCTCTTTTATTTGCTCTCTTTTTCTCTTTTTATATTTTTTCTTTTCTCTGTTTTTATGTAATATGTAGGTTGTTTTCTTTGTTTACTTTTATTCTGTATTAAATAACTAATAAAGTATTTTTAAAAGACTTTTATGTACAACAAGTTAATCACTATATATCTTTTTAAAATAAGTATAACACTACATTGTTGGGGCACCAATTTCCATTTTAACAGCCATGGCAATAGCCTGTGGAATCCTGGGATTTCCCATTTAGGGAGGGGTATTTAGAAATTCGTCCAGGGAGCCCTTGGATCCCACTAAATTACAAACCCATGAATTCCACAGAATGCTACTATGGCAGTTAAAGTGGAATATAGTGCTATAACAATATAAAATTATAAGTACCTAAATAAAAAGTCAATATTTGCTAGTGGAAGGAGAATAGAAAGTGACTTTTTTGTGAGAGGAGTTCCACAGACTGGGAGCAGATATGGTCCCACCAAATGTGGGGCCAAGAAAAAGTCCTCTCCTGAACATCAAGAAAGACGTTTTAATGAATTACATAGTACTGTACTGAGTTTAAATGTTGCTTACGGACTACTTAATAGGTGTTCCTTTCCACAATTTATACAGTATAATACACAGCCGTTATTGCATATTTGTTTCCCTGATATAGTTGTGATATTAGGGTTTGTTTTTTTTGGTAGTTTGAAAGCAGGAGCCATAAAACGCAACATTGGGTTTTTAACAATCTTTTAAATAACTTAGAACAGAGAAACCTTCAAGGCCCTTATGATTCTAAAATGTATTCTGTACTTTCCACAAAAGTTGCTCAAGCTGGATTCTGTTAAAGTCAGTCAAAAGAACAACTTCAAAATCAAGAAGAAACAGGACATACTCAAAAGAGAATAAAGCCACCAGCAAACAGTTTTTACTTGACACATAAAATTAAGGATAATGCCAAGGCTACTGGAGATAACATTCCAAAGAAATAGCAATAGCATTATTACTGAAAAATTTCTTACTATTCCCGACCTCATCTATGATCCAACCAATCACATACTGCTGATCTCTTGCAATGACATTCATAAGTAGGTCTTGCTGGAAAGACGCATTAGCATATGAAATATGTTAAGGAGCTAGTAGAACAGAAATGTTCTCTGTTATTCTCATTCTTCTCATTAGTTGTTGCCTCAAGTTTAGTCCCCCTCTGTGAGGGCAGGAACAGAGGCAGCTAGTGTGGAAAAGGCTAACTATATCAAGCAGTGATTTTTACTCAATGATTTTAACTCAATGCTGAAATTAAGTTTGATAGCGAAACATTTATTTTACCAAGAGACAGGAAAAAAATCCAGTAAAAGGCTAGATTACTGCTACAGATAAAAAGTAGCATTAAGGTGGGGATGATAATCTACAACAAAAACTATAACCATGGTTACTTAAATCGTGTTTTTTTTTTTGTGAGCTCATTTATACATAAAAACAACCCAAGAAACAAGGATATCAGTGTGATGTGAGACTTCATTAGACAACAGCTGTTAACTTTCTGGTACTAATTTATTAGAAACTCATTTTTAAAATGGTAATTATTCTATATCGCAGCAGTTATTTCTTTCTATTGTGTCAGGAGCGAACCAAAACAGTTGTATTTCTTTTAAGACTAGCACTCTGAAGCATATAAGCATTTGGCAAAATATAGGAGGCCACTGCATCCTCCTATTGAAATCTTTATCCCAGAAGACAGTAAGAAATTGTGGCTTAATAAGTAAGAACATGTACAGGCTTTGTTGCAAGTAGACACAGTCAACTCATTCCTCTCTTCACATAGGCTGCAAAATAAACCAGGAAACTGCAGTTAACCATAATTTCCTATTACGTCTGAACAAGAAAGCATTATTAATGGCTTCCAAACAAGCCTGCATCTGGAAGCCAACTGTTGTTTTAGAGAGCACCTATGCACCTGTTTGTACAATCAGGCCAGCAACTTCATTCAATATAGTAGGACCCCTGTAATTATGGCGGATGTATTCCAAGACCCCTGTAAACACCAGAAATACTGAATAACAGGGAACCTTATCTTCTGAATATACGTAGACTAGAAGCATATCATAGAACTGCACTAGAGGGCCCAGAGAGACACACAAATACCTCTGTGGAAGCAGGTGAGACATTTTTTGGCATGCGGGTAAGTCAAACTATGTATATCAAATCTGTGGCTAAGAAGGTTATCCCGTATCTAATATTTACAAAACCCACACTTGATTAAATACACTCCTCTCCCTTTACAGGAAATGTTTTATTTTAGAAAAAATAAAACATTAGAACACATATCCAAAAAAAGCTGCAGTTCAATCAATGTTTAGGTGCTAAGCAATGCATATGATGAGCCCAAACAGTCAAGATCAGGAGCAAGGTGAGTCTTTTCATTATATTCCTATAAATAGATGAATAATACATGGAACCTAACTTTTCTTAATTTTTCATGTGGACTGCTAGCACAATCCTCTCTACCAAATGACATCCTGAGAAGTGTCAAGAAAGACATTTTGCTAAAATGCTTGCTTCCAATCAGCATTAACAGCTGTTAATTGCCATCAAACTTATGGTGACCCTATGAATGAGAGACACTACCGTATTATCAACATGTCTGCTAAATTTTGTAAATTCAGGACTGTTACTTCCTTGATTGAGAATGTGCCTGCAACATAGTTTCCCCTTTCCCTACAGCCTTCCACCTTTCCAAGCATTATTGCCTTTTATAGTGAATATGAATAATTTATTATCATGTTCAAAGTATGACAGTTAAGTCATCTTGGCTTCTAGAAACAGTTCAGGCTTGATTTGGTCCTGGATCCATTTGTCTTTTTTTTTTTTTTTGGTAATATATGGAATCACCAGAACTTTGTTCTAGCACCACATGAATACAATCATATGCTGCCACACAAACTTACATTTGTTGTCTGTTATGTGTACCCAAAAAACCAAGCAATCATACACAGGGCATTAAATTCATGTACTCCAAACTGCAAACATAAAAACAACAATCCCTCAATGCTGAATATGCTGTTCTCACATTAAGAGAGATTTGGAGATCACATAAACTAGTTTAATGGATCAATATTTATTGCAAGTATTTAGTTGACAATTTGAAAATAATGACACGAGGATATGTACCTTGTGCTTGCAATGCTCGGTGATTCCGCTCCAAGCCTGCATCTTTCTAACTGACTGGCAACAATTTGCCTTTCCACCTCAAGCTCTCTGGTGAGTCTTTGAAACTGGAGTTCCTGTAATTCAAAAAGAATGTTTTAAAATTTATATAAGAACTGCTACAGGTAAAATAACAATAGAGCAAAGAATCTCAGAGCAAAGATTCTGGAACTATAAAAGGGAACTAAAAACAAGAAACAAATCTCCTTTCCCACTTTTTTTCATCTGAAGATATATTAGGCACCCATGAGCAAGGCCAGATTGCTTTGCTTACCACCTTTCATATCTGTTCAAAATTAGCCGATGTAGCTTGATGATGATTAGTTAGTCTGGAAGGATCATGCCAGATTTGCATATAGTCAAAAGTGCTAGGGCATTTATTCAAAGCTCTTTATGCCTTGGAAATAAATTATGGATCCCTAGCACTATCACTGGAATCAGGTGCCTTACAGGATAAGATAGATGGCAGTCTCTACTCAGCAGGTTTATAGAACGTTAGCAAATTATTCTCTAAATAAGGCACATACTGTATTTTGAAGTGATAAGAAGGCTCAACAGCCAGGGATTTAGGCTCTGCTCATTCATTGGCCTCAAAGCAGCGATAGAGGCAAAAAAGTTCTTTTTAAAATTCTTTTACAATGCTAACAGTAGAGGCTTGAAAGAACCATCTTATATGCTCAGCTGCTCATTTCCTAAAATCAGACTATGGCAGAGTCATTGCATGTCAAAGTTCATGGGAAACCTATGTTTGCAAATGTACTCTGTGCCTCGTTGGCCCACACCTATCTTTTTCTGACCTTTTTAAACTGGCTCTCAGGAAAAAATAAATAAATGTAAAAATGGGTTGTGATATTCAAAAGGATTGCCTCTCTTTTAATAGAAATCAAGATCATACACCAAACTGGAAACAGTTCAACAATATATCTGCCATAAAATAGTCGCACCATTATTTCTTATAGAAAATCACTACATTTTAAACTGTACTGAAAATAAAGGTACTGAATTATATTTATGGAACGGTTCATTTGTTGTTTCTCCATATATCCTTTCAGAAGTTAGAAGTGATGCAGTAAATAAATGACTTCCATAAACAACTGAGGATTCTCTTCCAAATCCCTACAAAAGGCAGAATGATTCTTCTATCTGATTATGAGAGCTTTTGCACATGAACAGGTAAATCTCACTAGAGTGGCATTGTTTAATCATGGGGGAGCTCATGCTTTTTTCTATACATTTATGATAAGCTGAAATATGAAACTAAATCCATGGAGCATCTCTGATTGGTTTCCACATGCACGCACCTCTTGTATTTTCGTCTTCTTTGGCTAACAAATCACAGCTAATTTGTGAGCTACCACCTCTGTACCATATTCACATAGATTTGATTATCTGGGCATTGCTGAAATTTGTAGGTTTTGATCTGTGATGGCTCCTTCAATAGTTCAAGGAAATAAGATGCAAGGAATGTGTGTTTCTACTGGAGGCAATGCAGATATACTTCAGTTAATGGATTTGTTGTATTCCTGGACATTACCTCTTTGACCGAAGAGGGAGAAATAAGATGGAAATAATAGGGATAGCTATTTTGTAGCTCCATATACTACAAAAAGGGACAGTTCAAAATGTTTCAATAAACTAGTTATTCAAAATCAACAATATGCATAGGTGAAATGAAGCAACCAGGTCAATTAAACCTTAGCTAACAAACAAAAACATTCTGAACTTTCTAGAGCCTACTAAAAACATCCAGCTAGGCAGAGGAAAATGGGGCCTGGGTGGCTTCAAAAAGCCTTTGTAAAAAGGAGTATCTTTGTGAAAGTCTTTGTTTACTAAGGTATGCATGTATAAAAAAAGCTACTGGAACGTAACAGTCACCAACCGATTACGTATTAATAATCTTATTGTGACTATGGTAAAAATGAAAAATATTTAGATTGGCAGAACTGCAACACTGTAGAACAGGGGTATCAAACTCATTTGCATCAAGGATCACATCAGCCTTATGATTGTCTTCAAAGGGTTGGTTGTAATTGTAAGCCTGGATATGTTGCCCTAAGCCTTGTGGGCCACATAAAATGACATGGTGGGCCTTGCGTTTGACACGTGTGCTGTAAATGATAGCACAATATCAACTGTGGGAAGGGAGGAAAAGCCATTGCTCCTAGAAGGAAAGATTATAATGGCCACGAAGAAAAGAGCTGTTGTACAAGCTTCTGAACTGCTTAAGAGTTGCACAGGATAGTTTTCTCCAAGAACAGGAATAGCTGTCCCCTGCTGCCATTGCATATCCTTGCAAAAACCACATTATGGATGGTTGTATGGACAAAATCCATCAATAGAATTCTTGCTGAAATCTCGCTGATTCTGCTTCTGTTGCCAAATATATTAATACATCATTTTCCCAGAGTTTTACAGTATCTTCGGAATGTCAATCAATGTTTTCCCATTTGGTGCTCCACTGGCAATCCTGCTAAGGAGATTTCTACAATTGAATTTTTCCCTCAGATCATCCTCAGCACTAAAGCCTATTAGCAGCCTGTTAATTAATTATAATTTCATCCCAATTTGAGAATGCGCTCTCTTGTCGCTAACCACAGGGGTTATTGCTCAATTTTAAATAGCTCTTTTCTTTAGATTTCCTAAACAAAATATTAATTATTTGCCTTATTCTGGCTGACCAAGTTTCCTTAGATACACAATGCTGACAGTCTATGCTTATGCTGGTTGAGAAACAGTGTGAACTATGTTTCTCCTCAATGGTGATCCGGCAAATTTTGAAAGAGACAGGATAGCAAAGGCTATTTCAATTTCTTTGCCAGATCAATACTGGGTAACACTGGCTTCAGCCCAATCTGGATAAATGTTCATTGGTCAGTTTATTATCAGGTAGTTTAAGTTTGAGTCATATATTTATATTAAAAGTCAAGGAGAGATACAGTCGCCGCCCAAGTTTAGAAAAGCTATAAGCATTTATTAGTTTACATCTTCACAGCTGGTAAATTCCTAGAATCCTCTTTTCCCCTGGATAAGAGGAACAATGACAACTACCAAGACAATGAAGTCTGCTTGTCCTTATTCTGGAAATCATCCTAGAATTAAAAGTATGGAGCCAACAAATGTGGTGTTAACTACCTATGTGTATATCCAAATTCTTTAACAGTGTACACAACAAGAAGGTATACATCATTCTTTATATTTGGTCCCCAGGTTTAAAATTTAAACCAAAATATTAAATACCACTTCCTAGAAAGTTACTATGAATATTTTATTATTTATTCAGCATCATGCTGGGTTGCAACCATTTCTTTTCTAAGCCAGGTATCTTAAAAGGAGCCAGAATCAAAGATAGTTCCCAAATGTATTTAACAAGTAGGTAAGCACATTAATCAAAGCTCAAGATTGTCATTATTTTTGACAGTAAAGTTAGCGTACTCCAGTTACCCATCAGATGTAACAAAATTGTTCCTGTAAATGATTCCAAGTAATCTTCTAATAAGTTTTACACACATATATACGTAGGCAGGCACTCACTACATAATAAAATAGTGTTGAATACACTATTTGCATTGAGAGCTTTAAATCTTTAAACTGGCTTTTACAGACAAGGTCAGACTATAACAAACAAACATTCACATTACCCCAAGTAACAGCCATCCATAAAATACATGTAATGGAAGCTAACATGTCAGCCATTATAATGATTACTTGCAGACATATTAGGCTTAAAGCTTTGATCTTTAAATATAGTAACAAAATATAATTGATTACAAACATATAAAAGGTATCTGAACAGATTTTAATGCAGTTTTCATTTAAGATAGCAAACTTAGTCTTCCTCATGATCTAAAATCAAAACATGATTATGGCACTTTCAAAGTACTTAATTTTAGGATGCCTTAAAGAACTTTGAAAATGATAAGGAAATAAACTGACCAATATAGAAACAAATTAGTCACTTTCCTGTTATTAACAGAAGCCTTAAGCCTAAAAGACTAATGTTCACACTCAACAGCATTCACTATTTTTCAAGGTGAGTTTTAGTTTTATAGCAATAGTTCCTTTCTTCACTGCTATGCCTTTAATATCCCATTGCAGATATGGCACAGCATGTATTACATATTTATATGCAAAAACCACATCTATCAGTAGCGCAAGAAATTTGATTATAAGAATGTGCACAATGAAATAAGAATAGATTGACCTCTATTAGACTGCACAAGTGTACAAAGCGATTCACCAGCTTCTGCCATGATTCCAAGTCTTTAAAATAGGAATGGTGAGAACAGATCTTGGCAACCTCAGATCTTACAAGATCCAAGCATCACAAGGAAAGTTTGTGGGTGGGAAGTTCTGGAATAAAATGTACATTAATGGAAGAATGTGATTGTAGTAAAAAAAATGCCCAAAGGTCTATCTAATCTGGCATTCTATGTCCTCAATAGCTCACCAGTGATCTATGAGAAGGAAGTAGGTATGACTGCATTTATGCACTTCAACAACTTATATGCAGTGGTATACTGATTCCAATATTAAAGGTAACATATAGACATCATAAATAGCAGCTATTCATAGTCTCATTCTCCATTAATTTGTCCAGGCTGCTTTTTTACGCACCTATGGTGATGGTCAGCCTACCACCACGGAGACAGTGAAGTTTGCAATTGAATTATGCACTGTGGAAAAGCTCATCCTTCATACAATTTTGGTGGATGAACCCAGATTCAAGTATTCCAAGTGTGCAGAGTAGATAAGACTCCCTTTATCTACTCTATACACATGCATCATTTATACACTTCTACTCTGCCTTTCCTGCCTAATTTTTCCTGAGAAAAAAAATCCCAAACATTGAAGCCTTTCCTCAAAAGCGAACTCTATTCCTTTGACTATTTTGGCTGCTCTTCTTTCTAACACGTCTAGCTCTAAAATATTCCTTTTACACACAACGATTAGAACTGTACGCAGCAAAGTGTTGTTTCAAATAGTTTTGAATATGTAAGCAAATCCTCTTTCTCTCCCCGCCACCCATCCACATTTTTTAAACTTTCAAGCTTTCTAATGCAATTCCAAATTCTGCTGTTATCACTACAAAGAATCTATTCAGCCTTCATGGGATTTTGGGATTTTTGGGGCACAATATCCATCAATTGGCACATGCTTCTTGTATATTATTTGCCATGTTGATCCTTTAATATCCTTACTATGCCTTAAGATTTATTCACTGAAAACTATTTTCATAGCCTTTTGTTATTGAATAATTTTATTCCTTCCAACACAGAAAGAGGGAAATGCAAGAATCTGGAGAATTCTACAATTGTATTATTAGAACACTATTTCTCTCTCAACTCTCCGCATGAGCTTTGTCTTACCGGTTCTATATCTAACACATCCTATTTATCACTGTACTCAATATACAGTTTCTCAAAAAGCAGTGTAACAGAAAAGGCATACATATTTTTCTGTTTTCTCTTGTTTAAGCTTGATTGTTATTTTTCAAAGTATGAGGAACGTCTTCATATGCAAATGTTTCTGATGTTTTTCCATGCCAAATCCAGAAGAGCTAGCATTGTAATGGCTTTCTATACAAATCATTCAAATACAGCAGGCAATAATCTGGGGCCCTCAGTTCTATGATGCATTCAATGATATATAGTCTGGTTTATAAAACTACATTCAGGCTCTTTTGTGAGTAACGATGTTTTTAAGTGTGTACTCAGTTCACTCTTCTGCACAGAAGTGACCCCATTCATGTACTAAGCACAGCATTAGTTGCCAGTTTATTGATATTCCATGTCTCTGGAACACAGTGGCTTGGTTTTCAGATATACAAACATACCTTAACTTGTGTAAGTGCAAAGCTCACATACAGCTTCCAACAGTGATTCCTTGTATCTTATGGGCTGCCACTTGGGAAGGCTCCTTGAAATTGGGAAAGGGCCTTACAGAGTATACAGATTAAAGATGATTGATAGAGGAAGACTGAAAATTTTGCAGGGAAGCAGAGCAACTGCCTGTCTCAGTCCTCGACACTTGGCAGTTTTAAGTTCTTATTGTTAAGCTTTCTGCTCTGAATCAGCTACACTGGGCTTTTACTTCACTATTTCTGTTAATTACACTGTCCATTACTAAAAGATACAACAGAACATCAAATACAACATGCACTTTAAGAAACTGTGTGTATGGTTTTAATGCTTTCAAATATAAACTTTTCACTGGGCAGGTTGGGGAAATGAAATGATTCATAATGAAGAAATGAATACAAGCAATCAGCACAATTAAAGTTGTCAGACCAATGTTTCACTCACTGTTAAAAACATTAAAGTTAGTTTCTGTAGCCTCTTTTGTTGTTGTGTGCCTTTGCTTTTGACTTATGGTGATAGTAGGTGAACTTATCAAGGGGTTTTCTGTAGCTGATAGTGTATGACTCATCCAAGGTCACCCAGTGGGTTTCTGTGGCTGAACAGAGATTTAAACCATGTTCTTCAGAGTTGTAGTTCAATGCTCAAACCACTACACCATGCTGGTGTGGTTATAATGCTAGGCTGTTGCAAATGTTCTTATCAGTAACGATTTTAGAATCGTTAAAAACAGTTCAATTATACACAAGCAGAAGCATGAATTTCACCTCCAGTTTATGGAAGCAGCTACAGAATGGAATCAGCATGGAATACAACATCAATGAAAAGGACATATGCAATATATAGCATTCACATGTAAAAGGTTATTTCTCACATTGTTAAACTCATAGACATACAGGTGCAGAATGTAAGAATCTTTGAAGATATAAATCAAGAACTGATGTCACAAAAAAATGAGGCATGCTGTTCCAGATATTTATAAAAGGCATGGAAGGCCTTTCGTTCAAAAGGAGAAAATATGCCTTCAAAACACACATACTGTGAAATTATTGATGTCGATAACTGCCTTCAAGTCAACTTTGAATATGAAGACAAATGAATGAAGCACCTGCAAGACACTCTGCTCTTGACAATCCTGCTCTTGCCAGGCGGAGACCTTCTTGAGTTCATCTGCCTGGTTTTCTCTTGCTACTACCTCCAACTTTATTGCCTTTTCAAACAAGTCATGTCATCTCATGATATGGAAAAACACTATGTCCTAAGTTCCGTTATCCTGGCTTCTAGGGAGAATTCAGACTTTATTTAAGGAATACCCTTTTTAGCAGCTTTTGTACTATTAACTAGCAAGCTCATCTCCAAAATTAAGGTTTTTGATTTATAAAGTGTCACACTCCTCTAAAGAACACTGAGATTAGGGCAAAATAATAATTGTACACTATACAGATTATCAACAACAATAAAAAACTGTTTCTGAGTGGTTAACTAGATCGGTGGTTCATGTACATTACTGCATCGAGTGGTTCATGTACATTACTGCACCCACGAACCCCGTTTGAATCTATATGCAGATGCCACCCTCCGCTCAATGAAGGAATGTACATGAATGAAATATATTTTGTTTGTTTTCTGTGCCATTCACAGATTTATAAATATTTATATTTTAACATTTTATCTATATAAATAAAAATATAATATTCGTCTATCTATATAAATAAAACCACTGGACTAATTGACACCGAATTTGGACACAATACACCTAACAACCGAATGTATGTCCTTCACTCAAAAAACAACAACAACAACAACAAAAAGCAGAAAGGACTTCTAAACCCAAAATTCCTACAGGGAGAAACAGCACATGTCCACAAAGACACCCATGGCCATGCCCCCTTCTCAGCGGGGGGAAACTGCCAGCCGTAAAAGCATTGGGAGCCAGGTGTGCATGCACAGTCACACACACACACCAGTGAGAGTGGGCACCATGGGACTGGAGGTGGAGGCTTGCCGCATGGAGCCCCTTCTCTTTCCCTGCTATGTCAGGAGGGTGGCCTCCTCCTCCTCTGCTTCCCTGTGCCTCTTCCTCCTCCCCGCTCCCGTTTCTTCCCTTCTCCAAGCCTTTTTCTACTCCTCTCCCCTCACCGACTTCATCCTCCACCCTCCCTTAAATCTAGATGCACCCAAAGTTACCCCTTCTACACTGCCATGTAAAATCCAGATTATCCACTTAGAACTGGATTATATGGCAATGTAGACACACATATATGTCTATGGATGTTGGTTGACTGGTTGCGCACACACACACATATATATACACACACACAATACTTTATATATTACTATTTTTAAAATTGCTATATAATACATATGCATTTCATATATAACATATATATATATATGATATAATTACAATATTTTATATATTACTGTTATGTTGATTACTATATAATATGTTACTTATACATATATTACTATATAATACAAATTGAATAAACTCATAGAATAGAGTTGGACGGGACAGTTGAGAAGTAATGAGAGAAGGAGGGAAAGAGCGGCGGAATGAAGGGAGGAAAAGGGGAAGGAAGGAAGGAAGGAAGGAAGGAAGGAAGGAAGGAAGGAAAGAGAGAAGGGGGAAGGAAAGAGGGAAAGAAGGAAGGGGGAAGGAAGGAAAGAAAGAAAGAAAGGTAGAGAAAGAAGGAAGGAGAAAGGGAAATAAAAAAAGTTAAAGGAAGGAGAGAGGGAAGGAAGGAGAGAAGGAACTTAAGCAGAAACAGGGAGGGAGGGAGGGAAGGAAGGAAGGAAAGAGAGAAGGAAGGATGTAACCAAAGAGCAAAGAAAGGGAGGAAAGAAACAGGTATAGATGTAAGAAAGAAGGGAAATAAGAAGGGAAAGAAAAAAGGAAAGGAAGGAAGGAAGGAAGGAAGGAAGGAAGGAAGGAAGGAAGGAAGGAAGGAGGGAAGGTTGACCACAGCAATGCGTGGTGGGTACAGCTAGTAAGAAATAAATTGGTCAAATTAGAACAGTTATTTATTATTTATTTATTTCCTATTATACCCCGCCCTTCTCCCCCCTACCTYATTGAACACATGTGAAAWTTTTACACATGCATACTCACATACACCAATGCTATAAAATACATACACACTCACAAATGCAATAAGATATATGCTATAAGATATATACATAAAATATATGCTTTCACATACTCATTTACAGTCTCATACGCAGTCATTGTCTGAGTGTGTGCATACGCGAGTACGTAAAAAAGAGATGAAGAGTTTGACTCAATATGTGTATGAAACAGAATTTGTATAAGATAAATTTATGAAAGAACATATCTGAGAAAGTCAGAATAAGATTATTACTGAGTGTGTGTGTGTGTATGAGAGAGAGAGAGACTTAGTATGTAACAGAAAGTCACCCATGCACCAAGGGAATTAATGAGCGTGTGACTGTGGAAGAGGAAGAGTGCCACTGTGCCCATGTGTAAGATAACTATCATATAAGAGTTTGAGTATGTGTGTGAATCAGTGCCTGTGAGAGAGAAAGAGAAATAGTGTGACTGAGTGTGTGAGAGAGAACAAGTGCATGTTAGAGTGCTGTATTTATTTGGGGGGCGGGGGAGTGCAAAGAAACTCTTGGAAGCTTGGTTTTCTGGGTCCCCAAATTTTTCACCATCCCAATGCCTCTGACAACTAACCATAGGACTCTTTATTAATTTCTTTTCTCCACCTTCCAGGATGTGGTGGCACAGGGAGGCTCACAGTTTTCTCCAGAGGTCCTCAGAGTGAGGGATGCTTGCACTGATCCGCCTTGGCAGAACAGCCAGTCCAACATGCTCTTGGAGTTTCTGAGGCCACTTCTCTTCTGCATCCAAGGGTCCAGCCAGAGATGTGGCAAAGCAAGTGGTGGCCACAAGCAACAGGCACACCAGCTTCTTTCACCACCAAAGGTGATTTTAATGCTGGCTCTCATTCAGCCACAATGCACCTGGAGCACACCAGATTGAAGGCTGTAGCAGTGTGTCCAAAGGACGAGGGCAGTGACAGAACATCCAGGGGGAAGAAGAAGCAGCTCTCTGGAGGTCATGATCCAGCATGGTTTCCCTCCTTCTTCTCTTCTTTAAAGTGGAGTGAGCTGCTCCCGTGGACTTCCTTGCCTTTCTCTTCCCCTCCAGGACACAACAGCTTGAGAAGTGGAGGAGAAGGATGCATCAGTACCTACAAGTTTCATCCTTCCCGTGAGCAACTATATCACCCCTTAAGGTCACACTGCACAGTTTCTGAAATAACTAGATCATTGATTAAATAGCCAACTCTGTAATAGCATATCTCATTCACACACAGTGCATCAATTCTGTAGGACTTATGTTCAAAGACATCAAGACAGAATACATTCCCTATAAGCACTCCTTACTTGGGAAATACAAGGAAAGTCTGTTCTCAATCTTTATGTCCCCAAAACCACTTCTGAAGTAAAATAAGTAGTGACAATGCATGGCTAGGTCTCTCAGCACCATGACAAACACCCATCATGTAATCTATACATGATGGCAGCCCTCATTCAAATGCCTTGGGAGAGTCCACAATGGTTGTAACTTAAGACTGTCCTGTTTTAATGTTCGTATATTTGTATATTTTAAATGGTTATGCTGATGCTTTTATGTTGAGCCACTTAGAGTTCCCTTCAGGGGAGATAAAGTGGGGTATAAATAATAATAATAATAATAATAATAATAATAATAATAATAATAATAATGTTTATATTGTGAAACCGAGACAACAACCATTACTCTTATAACAAGATATACACAAAAAAGAATTCTAATGTAGCCATTCAGAAGTTAGAAATGGTCTAGGTTTGCTTTATGTTACAATGAAAAAAATGAAATATTTGTTTTGCATTTCACCATTTACCTGGGAGTCAGGTGAGTAAAGAAGCTGATAAGAAAAGAGCCTTTTACTCTGTGATTGGCACAGAAATCAACCTGAGAAATGACAATAGTCTAGTCAAGGAAGGATTGGGCAAAAGTTAGGAAAACTAGTTGTCAATATATCTGGTGCATGAACTGACAACTCCATCAACAATAACAATGTTTTGAAACTGCAGTTATCAGGTTTCCTGTTGTAATCTTGAATACCAGCCTATCCTACAGAATGAAAATAAATATTTTTAAAAAGTGTTTGAAAATAAACACTAATCTAGTAAAGGTATATCAAAGAAAGTAGTGGAAAAAAAGAATTGATAGCTATTGCTCATAAAGAGTCAGCTATCACCACATTGTACCATAAAAAACAATACTTCATGAAACACAAATAAAAAAAATACACAAAACAACAAAAACAACAATTTGAAGTTACTAGAATTTCCTTTCAGAGGTATGGCTTAGGGGAATCCTTGTAAAGCTGTATTGCTCCTTCCATTAAGAATGTGCTGCCATGGTCATAACAAAGCTTTTCTCTTCAACAGAAACACAAAACCCCAGTGGTCCTCATTCATTTCAGCTTGGCAATTTAGCAGATCCTTTGCTGATACAGTTGCGTTTGCGTATGCATAGAAGCAATCACCCTACAGATCTGTAATTTCATTCTCAACAGTAGTTGCCAGTTGCTTATTTAAAAAAAACAAAATTATAGCCCTAAAAGTCATTACTGGAGTTTACTAACTTTCCTCCTAATGAGTGGAAAGTTTTCTATATTACATTATACTAAATTAAATACAAGCCTAATACGGTTAAAACGTTATGCATGGCTATCACAACTGATTAACAGGGGATGCATGGGAAAGCACTCTGGATATATCTTCATTTTCCATTCCTATCATTCCCTTATGAACATAGACAAGCGCTCCATGAAAACTCAAGACATGTTGGACTTGTCAAGTGTTAACATACTAAATGATGTTATTGACATTTGTGAGAATAACGACAACAGTTTAGAAGAACAACCATATTTCACTGAAAATGTGCAGGGTAGCATTGTGTGTCATAAGAAAAAGTCTGAAGTGATACCTTTGTTGGACCAATCGACAAATACAAATGTGATTACACAACTACTCTCTTTTTTTCTGTATGCTATTCTATCCTTTCCGCTTATTGAAGAAGCCTATGAAGCTTCAGTAGTCAGTGTGATATATTTTTAGTTGGCCCACTAATGGCATCAGCACAAAATGGACTTGGAGTTTATTGTTTTCATGTTGAACTAACGAAGGAAGAATTGTCTTCCTATTTTCAATTTACCATACAGAACAAAAATAGCTTGATTTAAAAACATCTCATATATTTAAGTTCACTTCAATCTAGATAATGGCTAAACATCTTGTTAGTTAATTATAAGGAGAAAGATTGCAAAGACTTATTCTAACCACTCTGCAATATTTCAGTTCTTATCTTAGAAATATTTCTCAATAGTTTTATGGCTCCATTTCTCCTATCTCTTCATGCAGATGAAAACAAGCTGTGTGTAACAGAAAAAAAAACTTACATGAGCACTCTAAAGTTGCTTAAATGTTTAAGGTGTGGCATCCTTAATTATTTTGCAAAATAGAAGCCTACTATAAATAAGAATTATTAACTAAATAAAAGGAAGTTCAAGAGGCAGGAGCAAACAGTACTGAAGCCTCAGTTTGAGCTGAATAAAAAGTACATAATTGTATTGGAAAACATTCAGCTCTGGGCTCTCTGCCATGCAGGAAGAGTGTTTAATTACCAACACTGACCTAGCAATATCAACAGAAGACTAAATTTTCAAAAACTGCAGTGATTTCTTAATGCCCTTGATTCTTTCCCTTCCAAAAAAAGAGACAAGGCTCATCATTTATCTTTAAACTTATTCATGAGCTGCAAAGTATGCACAGTATTCTGTGAATACTAGATACTACTTTAAAATGTGCATTGGAGTAATACCTGCACTTTCCAAAGGTGCAGTTAAAATGTCTTCAAACTGATACCGTTTACCAAGAGGTTTCCAAATTAATATTCAAAATAATGTTTATATGATGTATTAGAGAAGTAACACTGAATTTTAATTACCTAGGATACCATTCAACATCATGCAATCTGACTTTCGCTTACACAATGGGACTTTCCTTTCTCCCTCATCCATTACGCCAGCAGATGCTGTCCCAGTGGTAGATGGACACAATTGGCTTCCATTCTTAATATTGTTGCAAATAACAGACTTCAATCAATGGGGTCACCAAAATCAACCATTTTAAGATTTAAGCTGCAATATTTCAATTGCAATCTTGTAAACCTTCGCAAAAGCAAGTACTACTGAGTTGGACAAATATTCTGGCAAACCTGGATTTCATTTCCCACTTGCTACAGCATTGAGTGTCCTTGGGTAAGTCACACTTTCTCAATCTCAGAGGAGGGCAATGGCAAACATACATACATACATACCCCAAAAAAATCTTGCCAAGAACCTCCATGACAGGTTTGCTTTAGCCTTGCCACAAGCCAGTAATGCTGCAATAACAATTACAGAATTCATTTGGGCTTCGCCTTCATAATAGTTATGGCTAGTTATGGCTCAATCCTGTGCACTCTTTATTTGGAAGCTAGTCTCACAGAATACCATGAAACATCTGAACAAATATAAAGACAACAGAGTTAAAATGGCTTATTTAAAATGTCAGAAAAAACACTGCTAGATAAGAAAAAGTGCCAGCAAGGACCTTCAGAAATGAAGTACTGTCCTAGGCTGTAGCTTGAGGTTCCTCCTAGTGGTAAGCAGGACTGATGTCACTCAGACTTTAGCAAGAGTCAATATCAGGACTTGCTTATACTGCAGGCTTCAAAAAGCAATTACTTCATTCTAGTGGCAGTTTTTTTTAAGTGAACATTGCTCAAGCCTTCACAATCAGGTTCAGCTTTGTCAAAAGCCAAACAGTCTTTCACATCAAACACTATCCTGCCTTCTAAACTCTTTCTGAAGAGAAAATATACTAAGCTGGCTCATCATACTTTTTCCTTATGAATCACTACTGGAGACTGGAAATCTACCTTTGATTTACATGTAAACACTTGGTGTTAGTTGTCACAATACTTTCCTAGGCAGAGAAGTCTAACAAACAGGTTTTTCTCATAAGTATAATAAGGGAATAGAGATTTTTTTTTACATAGCATTCATGTGACTGATTATAAGTTTTGGAAACATATATAGTCACAAAGTCCTCTTGTCATCACTTTTGACCGGCCAGACATGTGAGCTTCCCTCATCCATGTCAGTGTACATCAATACGTCGATAGCATTCATTGTTGTGTATGTGTAAAAAACAGGCCAAAGTAGATACTGAATTCTTCTAATTTCTCTGGAGTTCCTCCCCCCAGCCCTTGGTTGTAAAAGGAGGCCAAGGTAGCTCCCTTGAGTCCCTTCAGGGAGAGAGGGCAGGTTAGAAATAAAGTTGTTGTTGTTATTATGGTAGATACTGAGTCCTTCAAATGTCTGTCTTCCAAACAATGTAAAATGGATTATATTTTTTTCACTGCCTGTTTGCTCTTGAAAGGGATTTCTGAATCTCTCTTCACAAATTATAACATTCATGTCAGTTTCAACATGCTTTGGATTAACATATCCCTCTTATTACTTATTTGTGAAAGTTTGTTACGTTACTAAAATGGTTATATCTGTTCCTATATCAAGGCATCTTTTGGGAGTAGGGTGGTAATAGCCAGTATGGCATTACTGAAGTTAGAAAGATAGCTGAATGGAACATTACTAAAATAAAATTAGGTTCACTACAGCAAAGGAAAGGACACTGTTGGCTGCCACTCAGATGTAGCTCAATCATTTTGTGCCCCTCTCCCCAAAGTCACCCACATTTTAAAACCATTTTGACTGATTTTTCAGCGAAGTTCAGCACAAAAATGCCCAAACTGCTACTAACACTTTGCAGTTGGAGCTCTTTGTCCCTTACAATCCTCCTATTTTTACCGATGTTCATCAAAACCAATCACAGCCTTCTGTAAAGCTGACCTGAAAGTTCTCTGAACTCTCTACAGATGTATACTCAAGAGGAGATATGGAAGTAAATTTCTTGGAACATGAGGGGATTGTTACATGATCAATGGGAATCTTCATGTGTATCCTTGGACTTATTATTATTTCAATGTCTGCTACTAGGTTTCTGCTGAGTCCTGACCAATTTCATGACAGAAGAATGAAGCTAAGAAGATGGAACTATAAGACCAAGCGAGTGACCTGTTATAAAAGGCACTTGACCCTGAGCTGTTGGTTCTGAATCAGAACAGTCTATCTTTTTCTGATAAGAGGAGGTCTCCTAAAGAGATCTCTTAAGAGCAAGCCTTACCGAGAAGCCAGAGGCTATAGGGAGACATAGAGGCTACAGCGACTTTTATGGAGCACTGACCCAAAGTCACAGTAATGGAGGTTGTATAAACAGACCTATTCTTCGCAGTTTGTGTCTTAGTAGCTGCCAATAACGCATGTTTATAAAGTAGTGCCTTAATACATAATTCCTGATTTTGTCCGGCTTGAGGTGCGAAGGCCTGGCTGTGAGAACACAATTTTGTGACTATCACCTTAAGAAAGCAGATACTTGGAGGTGTTTGCCTTCTTTCATGATAGCTCACACTCCGCGTTGGTTATTTTTAAATGATGCCAAGGATGCTACGGAAGAATCACTCAGGAAAGAAAAGGCCCAAGCACAGGCCAAACCCAAAAGGTACCAAATAAAGCTGTAATCAGAAACAATCCGTAGTCGAAATTGTAGTGTCAGGTTGAGAGACAAAACAAGACAATGATGAAATACAAGGGACAAAAATCCAAAAAACCAATCGAGTCAAACATAACAGTCAATCTGAATCATTTCTAGCAATGCTGCTACTGCAGTGAAAGAAAAAGAACCGAGGATTAAGTTGGGAAGGGCACTATATAATGATGGTTAGGGTGGGCAGGGGAACAGCTAAATAGCTTATGTAAGAGTCTGCGTTGTTCTAACAACGTATAATGCAGATAACCCATCTGTGTAAATCACAGAGACAACAAAAAGATATGCTTTATCTCTAAGCAAGAGAAAATTCAAACTTACCCAAAAAAATCAAAGCCCAAATAGCGGTATTTACAAATATTTTCTTAAATGTATAAATATACCTACCTGTTCTTTTACAGAAGCTAGAATAGTGGTGGCAGTAGCCTCTGTTTCCATGGCTGGACTTGTGGAAGATTCCTGGGTGGTCTGTTGCAGCCCTTCTTCCAAAGGTGTCTGCTCAGGAGCTGGCATGTTGCCTGGAAAAAAAAGTTTGATATTGATGTTTATGTCTTTGACATCTTACCTTTTCTCCACTAAAGCATTCCTCGGGGATACTGAGGATCTTCTTATGTTTTGCTCTACAGATATACTGTTTTGCCCAAGGAGGCAAAGATTTGGTCTAGAGGTGTGTGTGTATATGTGTGTGTGTGTGTGTGTGTGTGTGTGTGTGTGTGTGTATATATTGTCTAAAAGCAAACAGAAATGTACCATCCATATATATAAATATAAATGAATTAAGATTTCATTCTCGCTGCAACTTTCCATACTAATCTATTTCCCAAAACTGTTGGTTTTCACCCCAGTTTTATTATATTATTAATCATAATCATAATATTTATTTATATACCACCCTATCTCCCCAAAGGGACTAAGGGATGTTTCTAACAAAAATGGCAAGCATTCTATGCCAGAATACATTAACAAAGAGAAATAAACAACCCACCCCAGATCCCAAAAGAAAATTCGTAACTATAACAAAATTAAAATTACAACAGATAAACAAAAATTATGAATAACATAACTGATAAACCACTGCATATCTGACATTAAAACACGACAAGATATTTAAGCAAATCTAAATCTAAAGTTTTAAGGGTGGTTCTCTGTGGCTCTAAATAAACTGTGCTACCCCCATTACTTCTATAACAACATTTTTTCATCGTTTTAAGAGGATTGGTTTCTCATGGATGTAGGCCAGGTTGCCTTTGAACACATTGTCTGTTTGTGGCATTAAACCATATAATATTCGGTGGAACAAGATTATCATGTTTAGACTTCACACAACTACATAAAGAAAAAGATAAGACTGAGGAGGAAAAGCAAGATAACTGCAGTTAAACATTCTATCTGGAACATTTTCTTCTTCATATATTTAAGATTAGATAAGAACAATTAAAAACTGAAGGAAAAATGAGTGTACTGTCCCTTCAAATTAGAGGCACTTTCCGCATTTTGCACTCTATTTGACACTACTTTGGGTGGCTGAGCAACTTCCAATTATTGACCAAATTCTATCAGACATGTTTTAGAACAGAGCTTTCCAAACTGTGTGTTGTGATGCAATGGTGTGTTGCCTGCGGTGTCTAGGTGTGTTGCCTGAAAAATCTTGGGAGACAAAGTTAGGAGGACGCAAAACAATGGGGTCCCCAAGCCTACCCCCCCCCCACCTGGGAACGGAACCTCCTTTGTTGAATTTGCTTGGCAGCTGCTTGGTTCAGTTACCAGGCCTATCCAAGAGAGGATAGGTAGTAGTTCTTGTAAGGATGCTGCCTGGCTTGACAGAGCAGCAAAAGGAGCAGGACCCTGCTGGCTAGTTGCTACAGGTCAGGTGGCCAAGATGGTGGTTCCTCACACCAGTAAAGCCCTGCTGGGATCAGCTGTGTGCTCCCCAGGCGTGTTTCCATCCCTGCCACATGGAAACAGCCAAGCCTCCACCCTTGCATCAACAGTTTTCATTAGGACAATTCCTTCTGTGAAGTCCCAAATTGCAAACCTGGCTGGAATCTCTTTCAGTAAGACAGTGCATTCAGTTCAAACACGGAAGAATCAAAATTCCTTAATGGGTAATTGGAGGAAAAGAATTGCTGCCTAGGAAAGGGCTGATGCTGGAAGAATCCTGCCTTCTCCCTTGCACGTGAAAGACTATTCACAACTTCATTTTTCTATCAATAAATCCAGATGTTCCCAGCCTTGACTTTGAATGTTTGCTTTTTTAGTTGTTTCAGGGAGGAGGTACTAAGGTAGCCATCTGACAATAAATCATTGAGAAGTGTTTCTCTGACCCACTTGATCAATAGTTTACATTGATACAAAATTTTGGAGTGTTTAACCACCAATGATTTTGAAATAAGCAAGGCTGGTCAATATTTCAGGATTATCAGGGTTTGAAACACTGACAAAAGGAGTAAGAAATGTATTTTATTATCTTACAAATCATATATTGTAAAAATATAAATGAAAAGTTTTCATGAGATATGTTGTGTCCCCATATAGTTAATTTTTATAACTTATGTATGTGTCCTTTTCTCTTATAAGGGGTAGGTTTAAACTATGGTCTGGTAGTAAAAATAAATTACCATGTTGAAAAATGATTCATATCTAAAATGTGTGTCACGAACATGAAAAGTTTGGAAAGCTCTGTTTTAAAGGATTAGTCATGTAAATGTCCTGCTGCAAGCTACTCACACATATATTCGATTCATGTATAATGCCTTTAATATCTATATCACTTTTGGCTTTTCATGTTCTGTTGTTTTACACACTCAAAAATAGATCTGAGTTCACTAACATATAATCATCCCAACTTATTTAATACTATGAAGGTATATGTGTGTGTGTGTACAAGTAGTTCCCAAGTTACAAGCAAGATACAAGCAAGGTAAGTTCTGGAGGTTTGTTCTTAAGTTGATTTTGTATATAAGTTGGAACAGGTACATTTTAATGACAATAGTAATAATTTTATTTCTTACTCGCCTCTCCTCGTAACTCGAGGCTTGTTACAAAAAAAATTAAAACACACAAACACTGCAAAAACACCAAAAATACACATATTAAAACATACTTCTATAAAAGCTACAAACCAAAACATATCTCTATAAAAACATATTAAAATACACAAAGCAGAGATTAAGTAAGGGACGTGCATTTAAAATCCACAATTAAAGACTGCCTAGGTGGGCCTGCTGGAAGAGATTGGTTTTTACATGGTTTTTAAATTCTGACAGCTCATTTAGCTGTTGGGAGTGCTTCCTACAGGTCGTTCCATAGTCTCGGGGCAGCAGATGAAAAGATCCTTTGGGTGATATAGAGATAGAGAGAGAAAAAGTGCAAGCGAGCTTTGGATAGCATAGGGAAGGGTGAACATTTATGTGGTGTTTGTTTTGCTATGTGTGTCCCTGTTTAGAAAGGTTTACCTTACTTTTTATTCCTGTGATAATTGGATTTTGAAAAAAAATGGTTTGTTGTGGAAACAAGGATTGGTGAAGCAGCTTCAGCAGAGACATCTTTTCTCCATGATAACTTTCAGGAGTACACTTCCCCTCTGAGGGGTAAATTTCTCTCACTTTCTGTTGTCTTACCCCCGTTCTTAACTATGAGTCATTCGTAAGTCAGATGTTTGTAACTGGGGGACTGCCTGTGTATATATCTGTGTGTGTGTGTGTGTGTGTGTGTGTGTGTGTGTGTGTGATATATATATTGCTGAACAAAGCTAAGCAAACAAATTTGCACTTGATTGCTGCTCGGAAATGTGCCAAAAATGCCCACGGCAGCAATTACAGCTGGAAATCCTGACATTGCAACTCCTTGCCTTAAACATCCCTATTTTGTTATTTTTTTGTCCATTTTTGGCACAATTGCTACATTTCAGTGATATGCTGATAGGGTGGGTGGGGGGGGGGCACAACTGATAAACAGAAGGTCCAAATCTTGCCATAGATTCTCAGCTGGAATGCGGTCTGAGTTTTCACTGCCCTATTCTAAGGTGAAGTGTGCATGGATACTTCTGCAAGGCTCTAGATGCTTCCGATAAGCTGTGTATACTTCTATATGTTATCTTCTGAGTATATTTCTGTACTTTTCAGTATAAAAAGAAGTCAGCATGAACTCTTCCAATTTCAAAAGGTTTCGTTGCCCAGAAGAGTTTCTTACTAAGTATTACCAGACTAGTCATTACTTACAACCCTGAAAACCTTTCCCTCCACTTTTGAAAAGCATATCTTTTTTTATTAAATGCTCTGAGCAATATCTGTTCTTAAATTCCATCTGCCTAGATTTTTCCTTTGGAATGTATTCCAAAGCTCGGTCAGATTGTCGTTGCCTTTCTTTGCACATTTCCTAGTAAAGTTACACAGATGGTGAAGACAGGGCAAGACTGGCGTAAGATACACAAGGTGTGTTTGCATTATTTCTATTATAAATCTATTAGTTTAAATGTAGTTCCTAATGAGCCATATATGTTTGCCTTCTGACAGGTGCAATACACTGAACTAATATTTTCAAAGAGCAAAGGATTCCAAGGTTGTCTTGAATGGCAACGTTGAACTTTAAGAACCAATTTCATGAAGAACTACTAGTCTGAACACACTAGTTCAGCATCCTCATGCCTGGCCTCTAGGAAGAATTGATGCTGTTGTCTAGCATCTGAAATGTCGTTTCAGTGTGGATATGGTTCATTTCTTCTAGGGCAATTCATCTTGTATTTTTCCAACACTGTATTTTATCTGCCATTTCAGTGGACAGTTTTTTATAAATTCATTCAACAACTCTTCTGATCCTAGCTAAAGTCGGCGGCAAATTTTGTTACTTCCTTATTCAGATTGTCATAGGATACCGATTATTATGGAATTATTAATCCTCCATACCCAAAAGAGATGTTTGGTATCAGGGGAGATCTTCCATTTAGGACACACAGAGCAAAAGACAAGGCAAGTTAAAAACATACAGATCCAGGAAAAATATATACTCATTTTGAGACTTCCTTACACTAGAGAAAAAATCCACTTAAAATACGGTTTCTGCCTCCCACAGAATTCTGGGGTTTGTAATTTAGTGAGGCTGTTAAAGGCTCCTCCCTAAACTACAAACCCCAGAATTCTGCAGGAGGCAGAAACCAGATTTAAAGTGGATTCTTTCTCTAGTGTGATGAGGCCCTTACAGCCATTCTGAAACTCCAAAATCTCTGAAAGGTGTGTGCACTAAGATTAAAAAAAAAAAAAACCAAAGCAACAGTTTCATTGGTTTTAACATATTTTACTTAAACAGAAATACTGAGAGATGATAGTACATTTTATTTCAGTGGTTAACCACAAAAAACACAGTAAGTGGACTCTCCTTGGAATTATTTACATGCAGTTCCCTTCTTACTACACAAATAATCTACTGCTTTTTTCTTTTCATAAAGAATTGTGTGCACATGTTTATGTATAGACAAA